AGCTGCCTGCCATCCTCTCTGAACCCGGGTGCTATGAGACAGGCCCACAGGCTTCCGAGGCGTCTGCCATTTGGGAGCAGCGCTACTGCTTAGGCCAGAGCCTCCTGGGTGAACGAGCCTGAGTTGTCAGCTGCTGGCCAGTGGGGGCCTGAGCTCTGGGCTTGCGTCTGCCCTGTCCATGCACACCTGTGTCCCAGATCCCAGCGCAGGGCCTTGTGGGGACATGTCACAGAATAGAGGCTGTGTGCCCTGCCGCCACGGGCCCCTCAGAGACTTACTCCTGTCCAGGCTGGACGTCTAACCCCCGAGGCTGGGACTGGCCTCCCGGAGAGGAGCCTGCAGGTCCCTGTGTAGCCTGGCAAGCCCCTGGCAGGCCTCCAGCTGGGTGGGCTCGCCCTCCTGCTGGCAAGAAACCCAGAGTCCCTTAGGTTTGGGGTTTGTTTCATTTTTCAACATCTTTCTTCACTTAAAAAAAAAAGAAAAATCCTTTGGCATGTGTTTATTTATTGTTCGATTACTGTGAAGTAAAATACATTTAGTTTTGTGTGTTTCCTGAAGCGTCTGTTCCTGGGGGAGTTCTTGTCTTCAGCTGCTTCACAGCTGGGAGTGGGTGTTCCCAGTGAAACCAGAGGACGAGGGGAACTGGGGAGCTGGGGCTGTGCGCGGCCACCCACACACCCCACCCCCCCAGCCGACAGCAGCAATGCAGGCGTGCGGTCCATGAAATTCTTTTACTTTAGTTGCCAGCATTTTAAAAAATTGGTTTCACATTTTTAGGTCAGAAGCTGGGACATGCCCCTCACACCCCAGTCAGCACGGCGCCCTGGGTCTGGCCTCACAGCCACGGAAGCGGCCGTTCCTTACAAAGCCAGCCGCCTGCGCAGGTCAGAGCTGCGGCGCTGCCTGGCCGGACATGAGGCCGTGCCACGGTCCTCCCTCCACCGGGACCGGTGATTTTTTTCAGACCAAGTAGGATTATGGATGTGGTCTGCTTTATAAACATCAAATACTTCCCAATGCTGGTGATTTGGGGATGCGTCACGTGCTGGAAGGGAGTTTGGGCATGGTGACACTCACATCCCAGACATTCGTTACTCAGTGCCTCCCTCCCAGAGGCCAGAGGGGCTGAGGAACACCGAGTGCCACACGGCAGGGCTCAGCGGTTCATTGCCTTCCCGTGCCCTGAGGGAGGGGCGCTTTGGGCATGTGGTGGGGAGACTGGACATGGGGATGAGGATGCACCTCAGTAGAGCGATAGGGCTTCCTACGGTGACCTCAGCGCGGTCCACAGCCAGCCCCTCCCCCCCTCCGCCCAGTCCTGCTGCTGCCAGCCTCCTGCGCCCTCCTCTTGGGCTGCCCATACCCCTGGGCGGAGAGATCTCTGTCCTCTCACTTCCGGTGGCCACCCCTCCTTCCCTTAGGCCTTTGATCCACTCTGCTTGGGTTTTCCAAGTGTGAGCATGCATGTGTATGTATCCCTATATGTGTGTGCCCCCGTGTGATCTCCCCCCTTAGTGATCTCACCACCTGCCAGTTCACCTTGGTCCTCGTCACCATGTTCCCCTCACAGAGGCTGTCTAGGGCCACTATAAGCCACCTGACAGCGCTGGCAGGTGCAGGGGGCATCGCCTGGGAGGCAGAGCCAGCCACGTGGCAGTGGCCACAGCAGGCAGCGGCAGCAGCCCAGCTTCTTTTCCTGCTGCCTCACCGTAGTCCAGTCTGTAGGCTGAGCTCAGTGAAAGCTTACAGGCTGGTGTGATCTTCCCACAAAAATGATGGCAGTGGTAACGTTTTCCTACTTGAAATGTGCCAGACACTGTTTCTGGCACTTGTCTCAACAGGCAGGCAGACAAAAAGGTACGTCCAATCTGCATATCCATTTCCCATCTGAAGAGACTGAGGCCCGTGGAGGTCCAGTGATTTTGCAAGGTTGGAAGCTGGTAAATGGGTCTGCCGGCTTTCCAGCTCAGACCTTCCTCCCTCAAATGCCGCCTCCTTGACACCACTTTCCAGGGCCAGGGTCTGGTCCGGGGGAGGGAGCCAGCATATTGCTGGGAGACCCTTAGATGGCAGAATGCAAAGGTTTTTTTCTCTGGGGCCATCATTTTTTTTAAAGAAGACATTTGTTGCCAGTAGGGATGGGAAGACAGCTGCCCCATGGGGTGAGCAGTGGGGAGGGGCTCATGCCATGACAGACTCCCAAGGAGACCTGTTTTCATCTTTCTGTCCCGTCCCATTCTATGACATTCTAGGTCTGGGCCCTCTCTCCTCCCAGCCCACTGCCATTTCAGTCACTACCCTGCTGCTGATTCACTCACCTGATATTTCTTAGTACCTGCGATGTGCCACACCATTCTAGACTCTGAAGCAGCAGGGACTAAAATAAACCCTGTGCTAGTGGGACAGAGTGACAATGATAAATGAGTGAAAGCATCGTTAAGTGTGGGACAAGCTAAAACTAGGGAAGTGGGGGCTGCAGTTTTGAGTAAGGGACCCCGTGCAGGTCCCTCTGAGGTGACGCCAGCCAAGTCCTGATTCCTTTCCTTTCCTCTCCCATGTCCCTCCCTCCTGGCTCTGGCTGTAATGAATGGGCTCCTGGGACGGAAATGCCTGATGGCTGGTGCACCTCACAATTCCTATTTGGTTTTCAAAGTTCACCCCATCCTCCCTGCAGCCCCCACATTCCCCTTCTGATGCCCCTCTTGGTGTCCCAGGACTGGCCCAGCCCAGGCAGGAGAGTCAATAATGCACACCCCTTCCCAGTTCCATGCATAGTCACTAGGTCGGTGCTTGAAATTGGCCATGGTGGAAGTATTTACACCATGGAAATGAGCAAACGCTACAAATCAGGCTTTACTGAGTGCCTCCGATGTACCAGACTGAGGAGAAAGCAGTGATCAAAATAGTCCTTCCCTCATGGAGCTTCTGTTGGATCTATCACCTTTGTCTCTAGAATCTGTTTATCCCTGTCCATCCATCCATCCATCCATCCATCCATCAAACTGTCCTTCAGGCTTTTGCATCTGTCTCTCCATCACTTATCCATAGTCACCTGCAATGTGCCTGTAGGTCCAGCCATCATCCAGCCACCTAGCCCCCTCCTGCCCCTCCACCCTCCCAGGTGGCCAGCTCCTGCCTTCATGTTGCACCCAGGTATGTGTATGATCTGAGCTCCGTCAAAGATGGAGTCAGTCAAGAGCTATGCCTGGCCCTGGTCAGAGCCCCGGGCCAACCCGGGACCTGGCATCAGGCAGCCCCAGAAGTCCCCCTCCCCCAGCATTCAGCCGTGTGTGTGGAGGCTGAGCAGCTGCCCTAGGGGGCCAGGTGGCTCCTAGAACCTGCTGCCCCCAAGAGGGTGAGAAAACCACCCTGGCCAGGTGTCTCCGGGGTGACGGTGGGGGGTGAGGGCTGCTCACACATTTGCAGGGGCTGTGGTTTCACATTGGTGCTGCCATCGAGCCACATACAACCGAATCCAGGTTAATAGTTCCACTATGAAAACCATCCATGTTCTAGAACTTTCCACACCACGGACTCGTGTGTTCTCTCAGCGACTTTTCCCAACCGCCCCGTTTTACAGATGAGTCTCAGAGAAGCTCTCAGGTGGACCAACTCCTAGCTCAGACTTGCCTACAAGGAGAGACAGCCAGAGCTGCCTGCTCAGGCCTGGTCCTGAAGATGGGTTTTCAGGAACCCCTGGCCCGGGAGGATGACAGGGGGGTCCCGGTGGGGTTCCAGTCTGGGTGGGAGTGCCCCTCGGGGCCCTGGCATGGGCTCTGAGCCACCTCCCAGCTGCCTTCACCATCTGGAGGGTGCTGGAAAGCCACCTCTAAAGGTCAAGGCCCTTAGGGGGGAAACAGTCTATTTTCTTTTAAAAAAAAATAAAAGCGAGGGGAGTGCATTACGTAGCGTTTGTATTCACCGCCTGGTTCAGTACGCGCCCTCAAACATGGCTGAGAACTGTTTTCTTGGCTTCTTAATTCACATCTCAACAGACTTCCAATCATCAATAGAGCTTGACTCCCTAACTCCGGAGGTGAGTAAATGGAGTGCTGAGTCCTGACTGCCCGTTCCTCTGCCCCTGGCCCCACCCGGAGTGCCAAGGGGCTCCCTGGGCCTGTGCTCCCCCTGCCCCGAGCACTGGGCACCATGCCCGGCACGCACTGTGCTCATTGTGTACTTCCTGGGTGCATAAAGCGCACTTAGATATGGGCAGAAGGAGCCAGAAAAACATTCTGGTGGGTGGGAGGCTGTCTCAAGAGACAAGGCTGACTGATTTTCAGCCCGGAAACACCTCCTACTCCTCCCTCCCCTTCTCCCCCCCGCCGTGCCCCTCTGCAGGGCGGGGTGGCCACAGGCCCAGGCTGTGGCTGCTTTCTCGCCCCCCTCCCGCCTTCAGCACAAGCCTTGGTCCCACCTCGGAAGGAAGGAAGCTGGCGTTTATTGAGGGTCTGCTCCGGGCTGCACACTAGGTGGGCGGCCGCACTGGTTTCTCCCCGAGGTCAGCCATGCCACCCACATTGTCCAGAAAGGAAACCCCAGCCCGGAGCGGGTGCAGCACCCCGCGGTGGCACAGCCAGCAGGCGTCAGAGTGGAGGCTCAGACCTGCCACAGGCCTCCCCCTGTCCCCAGGGCTTCCCACCCGACAAGGAACAGCCTGGCCTCCCTGTGGCTCCTGGAGGGGCGGGACCCAGGGGCGGGGCCTGGTGTCTGTCACAGACAGTGTCCTGGTCCCAGGAGGCCTGTGGGCAGCCCTGGACCAGATTGTGACCCAGGGGCCAGCCCATGTGCCCTGCAAGAAGAAGGGAGCCTGCCGCTGTGTGCACACGCATGCATGCCACCGTGCGCACATGCGTGCGCCCCTGAGGCGTACACACAGCATCGACTCCAGGCTCAGGGCCCGGGGAGACCAGAGGCCGCGGGCCTCTTCCCACCACAGCCCAGGCGGCCCTGCCTCGCCGCCCGGGGGCACGGCTGGTTCTGAACGGCCGCCGGCCTCGCTAGCTGGCCTGGGGCCCCGGCCCCGCAGGCGGAGGGGCCATGACCACCCACTGGCGGAGGTAGCTCCTGGGGGGCCCCTCGTCCCTGGAGCCGCTGAAGTCGCACTCCACGGGGCTGCCGCAGTCAGAGCCCGCGAAACCGCTGTCGAACGTGTCCATGTCCAGGCCGGCGGGGGGCGAGCCCGCCTCGCTGTCAGACGCCCCTCGGGGCGGCCCCGCGCCCCAGGGCGGCCCTGGCGCCCAGCCCGCCTCGTCTTCGAGGGGCAGCATCAGTTTGTCCAGGAGGCCGCCCAGGAGGCCCCCCAGCCCAGCAGGGCCGCCGGCCGCCACACAGCCGCAGGACAGGACCGTGTCCCCCGGGCCCAGGAGCGGATCCTCAGCGCCCGGGCTGGGCTCCAGGCCGGCGTCCAGGTTCAGGGTGGGGTAGCCATCCTCCCCGCAGGTGCACGGCCAGGCGCACGGCTCCTCCGCGCCCACCACAGTCACCGTGTCGATGGACACCAGGCCATAAGGCCGGTCGCCCTCCTGGCTGTACGCTGAGCTGCCCGCACTGCCAGTGCCGGGGGCAGGGCCCCAGGAGCCCGGCGCCGGCTCCGGCTCTGGCTCCGGCTCCGGCTCAGGGGCGCCGTCGGTTTCCACCAGATCTGCAGGCGCGGGCAGCACCGTGGTCTCCGGCCCCAGGGCTGCGCTTGGTGTGGGGCCGCCGTGGTACATCTCCAAGGGCGAGGGCACCCCAGGGCTCCAGGGGTGCAGGTCCAGGCTGGAGGCAGTGAAGGGCGTGCCCACCCATTTCTGTGGGAGAGAACGGAGAGGGTCATGCATGGGGCAGGGGCCAGGGAGGGTGTAAACGCAGACCCTGGGTGGCTCGGTGGCCTGCAGGGGCCAACATTCCTCAGTTGTGGTCACATGGGGACAGGAGACCCCGAGGTCTGAGCAACAGAGCCCCCCCCCCCCCGACCTGTCCCTGTTTTAGTTCCTAAAACCCAGCACTCTCCCGTTTGTGTCCCCACGAGAGTGGACACTCGGCCAGGGCACAGGTCCTGGTTCTCCTGGTCACAGCTGCATCCCCGAGGCCCACACACAGCCCGGCACACGGCCAGCGACCAGCAAACGTTTAACAGAACAAGAGACTGAGTGGAACAGCCTGTGTGTGCACGGCGGCCAGGGCTGTGGGGCCATGAGGGACTGAGGCAGCAGCCCCTGAGCCCTGAGGACCCCCCTCTGGACATGGGGTTCCCACCCAATCAGCAGGGAGAATCCCTGAGAGCTGGAACCTTCTGGACGTGAGCCCATCGCCCTTGGAAAGCTCTCCGAACGCTGGTGTGGCCGCCTCCACTGCTTTGAAGTCACTTCTCAGCTGGGCGGCCTTGAGCCAGTCACTTACTCCCTGGACCTCCGTGCACTCTGTGGAGTGGGCCTGCACAGAGCGCCCACCCCTCGGGGCTGCTGTGAGCGTGACATGGGTAACAGCTGCCCAGGACACAGCGAGTGCTGTGTGTTCGGGTAAAGGGGATACGAACCAGGAGAGAGGAGAGGTCCATCCATGCGGGCTGGCATCCACGCTCCTGCCCCGCCCACTAGAGCCACTATGCCATCTGAGCAGGGTCTCCTCCCAGGCCCGGGGGTGGGGCCCGCCCTGCAGGGGCTGCAGGAGCTGTGGGTGCAGCCAGAGCGCTCGGAGCAGCTCCAGGCAGCTGGCAGGAGCTCAATCAAGGCACCAGCCCGCACTTCCTGACTTCCAGGCTCCACCTCACCACATCCTCTCTGTGGGGCCCTTCCCGCCACCCCGGTGGGTGTTGAGCGGTAAATGGGCCCAGAGAACGTGGGCACCGCGTGGCTGTCATGGTTGAAGCTTGTGGGGGGTAGGAGGGTGCACTTTGCAGGCGGTCCGTCCCTTTCCACAACCTGCTCCCTCTCCACCCTCACACCAGGCCGACTAAGAACCAGGAAGCCAACGTGTGGCCCAAGGGTGCCCCGGGCCCAGCCCACCCCCGGTTGGCCCCTGGGGCTGCATGATCTTGGTGAACTCTGCCCTGGAATTACTTCCTGCACTTGGCAGATGCCAAGACCGAGGTCTGGCTTCTGGCCAGGCTAGGCCTGCAGCTGGGGCTGGGGCTGGGCCTGCAGCTGGGGCTAGGGCTGGGGCTGGGGCTGGGCTGGGCCTGCAGCTGGGGCTAGGGCTGGGGCTGGGGCTGGGGCTGGGGCTGGGGCTGGGGCTGGGGCTGGGCTAGGGCTGGGGCTGGGGCTGGGGCTGGGGCTGGGCTGGGGCTGGGCTGGGGCTGGGGCTGGGGCTGGGGCTGGGGCTGGGGCTGGGGCTGGGGCTGGGGTTGGGGCTGGGCTGGGGCTGGGCTGGGGCTGGGGCTGGGGCTGGGCTGGGGCTGGGCTGGGGCTGGGGCTGGGGCTGGGGCTGGGGCTGGGGCTGGGGTTGGGGCTGGGCTGGGGCTGGGCTGGGGCTGGGGCTGGGGCTGATCTGGGGCTGGGCTGGGGCTGGGCTGAGGCTGGTCCTGCAGCTGGGGCTGGGGCTGGGGCTGGGGCTGGGCTGGGGCTGGGGCTGGGCTGAGGCTGGTCCTGCAGCTGGGGCTGGGGCTGGGGCTGGGGCTGGGGCTGGGGCTGGGCTGGGGCTGGGGCTGGGCTGGGACTGGGCTGGGGCTGGGGCTGGGACTGGGCTGGGGCTGGGGCTGGACTGGGGCTGGGCTGGGGCTGGAGGTGGCTCCGGAGAGGGTAAGAGCGCCAGGGGGTGATCGGTGGGGCTCTCACCTTGAAGTTCCCGCTGTGGCTCACATACAGGTGCTGGAAGAACGGCTCTGGGCTGGGCACCTGCACCCACACCTTCCACAGCCTGGAGGGCAGAGAGAGGTAAGCCCCCCATCTCGGGGAGGGCAGCTGCCTCCCCCTTAGATGCTCCCCCACTTTGTCCTACAGGCGTCTCAGTGCCTCCCAAGACACACCCAGTGCCTCCTTTCCACCCTGCCCCCCCACCCACCCTGAGATGCAGCGCCCACATCTGTACACTGGCAGCAAGTTGCCCACGGCTCCTGAAGGCACAGGGCTCCGCCGCCCATGTGCTTGGCAAGCGCTGCCCCTCTGAGCCCCGACCCCTCCTCTAGGACCAGGTGGGCAAAGAGCCAGCTCCTCAGGGCTGTGGGGGACTCGGGGGTGCACCTGGCACCCAGAACCAGGAGCACCCAGCACCGAGCACCAAGCACCAGAAGCGCCCTGAGCCATGGCACTGCCTCCGGCTCTGAGTCTCTAGACCGAGAGGACCAGGCCGTGCTGCCGCCGGACGAGGCTCGGCACCGGCACCGGCCGCGCTCTCGGAGCCATCAGCAGCACGTTTCTCTCCAGGACCGTGTCCAGCACAAACCAACACACAACAGAGAAAGCAAAGCCTCGGGTGGAAGCGGAGCGGGTGGGGCTGGGTCACCCCCCGGCAGTCCCTCGTGCCCCCAGGTCAAAGCTTAAAATTCACTGACACCACCGGGACCGGTTTGGCTCAATGGATAGAGCATCGACCTGGGGACTGAAGGGTCCCAGGTTCGATTCCGGTCAAGGGCATGTACCTTGGTTGTGGGCACATCCCCAGTGGGGGGTGTGCAAGAGGCAGCTGATCGATGACTCTCTCTCATCGATGTTTCTAACTCTCTATCTCTCTCCCTTCCTCTCTGTACAAAATCAATAAAATATATTTAAAAAAAAAAATTCACTGACACCATCACAGCTGAGGCCGCTGTTAAGAGCACAGGGTTCAGCCCTGGCCCATGGCTCAGCGGTTAGTGTCGGCCCACACATCAAAGGTTCAATTCTCCATCAAGGCCACAGACCTGGGTTGCAGGTATGATCCCCAGCCCTGGTTGGGGCACGTGTAGGAAGCAACCAATGGATGTGGCTCTCTCACATTGATGTTTCTCTCTCTCTCTCTCTCTCTCTCTCTCTCTCTTTCTCCCTCCCTCCCTCCACTCTCTCTAAAAATTCAATGGAAAAAAGATCCTCCAGTGAGGATTCACACACACACACAAAAAGGTCCGCCTCCTTCCCTCCATCGCTGTGTGCATGGAGCAAGGTCCTTGCTGGCTCTGGGCCTCAGAGTCCTGATGGAGGCTTTGCCGGCATCGAGCTCCTGGGGCTGCTGTGCGGGCTGAGTGGGTGCCCAGCACATGGGGAAGCGGGAGCCGGTCGTGGTCACCACCACTGTCACTATCACGGTCCACGGCGGCTGTGACCCGGGTCCCAGAGGGGCTGCGGCCCAGGCCGACCCCAGCCCCGCCGCCCTGAGCCCCGGCCTCACCTCCAGGGCAGGCGGATCTTCAGTCCCAAGTAGACGAGGATGGGGAGCGTGAGGACCAGGAAGAGGTAGAGCAGGTCCGCGTGCCAGCCTCCCTTTGGCTCTGGGGAGGAAGCGCACGGGGTCACACGGAGCCCCGCTACAGGGGCGCCCGGCGTGGCGCGGTGGGCGGGGGCTCTGGGTGGAGTGGAAGGCTTCGGTGCCTTGAAGGGAGATGGATGGGGGTTCAAATCCCCCTCCCGCCCCACCCCGGGAAAGTGACTTTATCTTGCCGGGCCTCGGTTTGCTCATCTACAAAATGGGGACAATGATGCTTACTTCACAGACCAATAGGCGTACGCACAGCCTGCCGGGAGAAGCCCCGGCACCCCACGCGGGCCTGGCCAGTAGGGGCTCCCAAACTGTGAAATGGCCCCCCCCCCCGGGGTGCCCAGCTGGACGTCTCGGGGCTCAGGACAAGGGGTGGCACAGAGTGGTGTCCACCCCGCCTCCCGCCTACCTTCCGGCTGGGTGTGGAAGAGGACCGGGTCACTCCACTCGCTCCAGGCCCCCCGGAAGGAGGAGCCGGGCTGGGGCCCCGCCCGCACCTGCAGCTCGTAGCTGGAGCCTGCGTGGAACTCCAGGGGCAGGAGGGCGACGCTCCTCACGTCCACGGAGACCAGCTTCCTCCCCGGAGGCTGCGGCACAGAGAGGGACGCGCCTCGCTGTCAGGACGAGCAGACACCGGCCTCCGGCAGAACCCTCCCAGCCCTCTCCGAGGTCTGCACTCCCTCCCTCCTTCCCCCAAGAGCCAGGCCCCACAGGATGCTGTGTTCACTGCTCTCTGATCCCACACAGGAGCCCTCCCTGCTGGGACAGGGCTGCCCAGGAGCAGCATGGCCACTCCTGGCAATGCTTCACTGGTGGCGTTCCAGACAGCGGGCCTCTGGACAGCGGGCATCTGAGAGGCTTCTGCCACAGGTCTTAGCTGTGGACACCCCGGGAAGTCTTCCCCGGGGACATGGCACACAATGAAAACCTCCAGCTGGGACCATCCCCAAGGGTAAAGGAGGCTGAAGTGCTTCTAAGCAGCGGCCACATGGGACTCTCTGGCACCTCGACAGAGGACCCTGGGCCTTCACCTTGGAAACACCTGGACTTTTTGGTTACGGAAGTTTCCGGAACTCCTCAACTACGGCTGTCCTAAGTGAAGTGGGGCCCCCACTTCTGAAACAACCCCTGTTGCCAGATGTGAGGCGGGGCCTGCCGAGGCGCCAGCCCCTTCCTCTGGCAGCTGTGCAGAGGAGACGACGGGAATGGAGAGGAGATGGGAATGGAGAGGAGATGGGAATGGAGAGGAGATGGGAATGGAGAGGAGATGGGAATGGAGAGGAGATGGGAATGCAGAGGAGACGGGAACAGGAAGGAGATGGTTCTAAGGGGTCTCCTACCCCGGGGAGAAGGGGAGGGGCAGCATGAGGGCTCCGTCCTGGGTGTGACCTGGGTGTCCATTCTTGGCCATGAAGGACCAGCCCACCTGTCTCCCGGGCACTCCCCCCCACCCGGATCGCTGCACACACCCACTCCCCAGCCCCCCGTTCTCTGCAGGCTCACCTGCGTCCAGGGGTCCCCCTGCTTCCTGTACTGCAGCTCGTACTGCAGTTTGCCCCTGAGCGGGTACACATCGCTAGCGGCGCTCCAGGAGATGTTATACTGTCCCGAGAAGGTCACGGTCACGTTGGAAGGAGGCGACAGCTTGACTTAAAGAAAACAGCCAGGAGGATAAAATCGGTGAGATTGGTATTCGCTGACCACGCTCTGGTGGCCCATCCTTTATGTGGTCAGGGTTAGCGGCCCCGGGCGGCTGGGTGAAGCTTCCCCTGTCTCCGGGCCTCGGTTTATTCATCTGAAAAATGGGCTGCTTTGTGGGTTGCAAATTCGAAGGCGGCGGGTGACAGGTCCGGCTGAAGCTGGTGTGGGCGCTGAGCTATAAAGAGCCCTCCCAGCACACAGCGGCCAGGCAGGGACGCAGACAAGTGGCCAGGACGGGAAAACCCCGAGAGCCCAGATGATTGTAGAACTCTCTCAACTGTTCCCGTTAGCTACTGACCCAGAACCTTCCTAAGCCCCCTGTTGGCCACGCCCTCGGGTGGTCTAGTTCTGCTGTCAGCGAGGGGGTCAGTGCTTTGAGCCCCATCAACCCTGGGACGTCCGAAGACTGGAATCAGCCCGCGTGGGGCTGGGAACTGCTCTGCAGAACTCAGGGACACTGAGTGTCTGTCCTGCTGTGGCCAGAAGCTACCAGCTGAGAGCCCGACCCACAGTGGCCGTGCGTGTGCCCGCCCTCCCCTCACAGACACCTCCTGGAAGGGGTGAGAGCGGCGATCTGGACCACACCCTCGACCCCACACCCCCACACCCCCAAATCTGTTTTCAACCATGAGCAGGACAGGCCACATTCCATGCCCCATTTCCTCTCTGGGAAAAGGACATCCGTTCCTATCACAAGGAGTGCAAGTTCAGGGGCCAAACGAAGCAGAGAAAGGGGTAACGCCAGGCAGCCGGGCAGGCTGCTCCCGCAGAGGAAGCAGGGCCTGTGCTCACTCCACCTCCGCCGAGCCTGCCACCCCTTGGGGATCTGAGCTCCGGGCAGAGGGTTAGCTCTCCTGAGTCAGTGCCGTGCGTGCACTCCGAGACAGAGTCCGGCACACAATAGGCCCTCGCAGAGTGTCTGTCAAACCCAGATTCCCAAAGGAGCTGTGAAGCTGCCTCCGACCCCGCCCCGCTCACACCCATGCTGAGCGCTCTGTGGGGGCTGCTCTCTCTGCCGTGGGCCCCTCTGAACTGGAATAGCCCCTCAGCCCTCCTCTCTCCTCCCAGGCCGGCTGGCGCTGGCTGTCAGCGTCCTTGGGGCCTGGCTGGCTGGTAAGGACCCATTCAAGCGGGAACTGGGGGAGAAACCAAGATGGTGGCATAGGTAGCTGCCTTATTGCAGCCACACACAACAATTTCAAAAAATACAACTAAAATATAAAGTGGACATTATCCAGAAGTGCAGGAAAGTTGACTGACTGGAAATTCTACAACGAGAAGGAAAGAGAAAACCAGAAGGAAAATAAGAGGAGCTGTAAAAGCCTAAGGTACGGAGACACGTTGTGTGCACAGAGATGATGGAGCTGGAGAGGAGAGGCAGCTGAATGCCTGGCTGGCGTTCCCTAGTGGGAAGGAGATAAAAGCTGAACCCCAGTTCCGACAGCACTGAACCCCAGTACTGAGCGAGACCCTGGGGACCCAGACACATACAGAGGGAATCTGGGCTGTAAGGTGGAAGCTCAGGGGACCGGGGAAAGGCAGAGCCCCCCAGTGGCGCACATTGCGCACAGAGGACAGACTGTTGATTGAGCCTCTGGATTGCCCTAGCAGGAAGGAGACAAAAGCTCCAGACTGCTCTGAACCCCACTTCCAACTGCACTGAACCCCAGTTGCGGGCTCATTGGGGGAGAGACTAGACTGTCTGGTAGCGGGCGAAACTCTAGGGCACCTTTCTCTCAGAGGTGCTTGCAGCTAGTACCAAAGGACACTGAGGAACACTGAGATTCAGGAACTTCATAGGGCAGGGCTAACCGGAAGCCAAGGCTGTAGGCTCCACCCTGAAACTCCGCCCCATCCAAGCTGAGCACAGAGGCTCTTGCAGTTTTCCAAGTCTAGTCTAATAAGGCTGTCTCCTGGCATAGATACAGCTGATCCTCCCACCCTACCAACTCAGGGAAGCAGCGAAAATGCTGAGACAAGGAAACAGATCACAAACGAAAGAAATGGAGGACAAAAAGCGACTGGATATAGAGTTCAAAACCACCCTTATAAGGTTTTTCAAGAATCTCCTAGAAAAGGCCAATAAAATAAACAAGACCTATGAAGATATGAAAAAGGATCAACTAGAAATAATAAAGGATCAACTAGAAATAAAGAATAAATTCTCTGAAATAAAAAATATTATACAGAGCCCTAAAAACAGAATGGAAGATCGCAAGAATCAAGTCAAAGATTTGGAACACAAAGAGCTAGAGGATACTCCTCCGAAGAAGCAAGAAGACAAGAGAATCCAGAAAGTTGAAGACAGTGTAAGAAACCTCTGGGACAACTTCAAGCAAACCAACATCAGAATTATGGGCATCCCAGAAGATGACAGAGAGCAAGATTCTGAAAACATATTGAAAGAAATAGTGATAGAAAACTTCCCCCACCTGGTGAAAGAAATAGACTTACAAGTCTAGGAAGCACACAGAACCCAAAACAAAAGGAATCCAAAAAGGACCACACCAAGACAAATCATAATTAAAATTCCAAGAGCAAAAGACAAAGAGAGAATATTAAAAGCAGCAAGAGAAGAGCAGGTAGTTACCTATAAAAGAGCACCCATACGATTTCTAGCTGATTTCTCAACAGAAACCATGCAGGCCAGAAGGGAATGGCAAGAAATATTCAAGGTGATGAATAACAAGAACCTACAGCCCAAAATACTCTACCCAGCAAAGCTATCACTCAGAATCAAAGGCCAGATAAAGAGCTTCACAAATAAAACAAAAGTTAAAGGAGTTCATCACTGCCAAACCAGAATTATATGAATTGCTGAAGGGGGTTCTTTAGGAAGAGGAAGAAAATAAAGATAAAGATTATGAACAACAAATATGTAACTATCAACAAGTGAATCTAAAAACCAAGGGAATTAAAAAACCTGATGAACGATATTAACTGTTGGATATAATAGAATCAGAGGTACGGAAGGGGAGTGGACTGACAATTCTCAGGGAAAAGAGGAGTGGGAGGTGCGGGAAGAGACTGAACATAAACTGTGCACCTATGGATGAGGACAGGGGGCGGGGAGGGCTGAGGTTGGGGGGGAGGGTAGAGGGTGGGGTAGGAACCAGGTGTAGGGGGAAAAAATGAGGAACTTTTGTAATAATATGAACAATAAAGAATCATTTAAAAGGGGGGGGGGCTTTTCAAGAATCTCCCAGGGCCCAGGGCCCAGGAGGACGCAGGGCTGGGGAGGCTGCCTGGGGCAGAGTGCTGCCTCCTCCACCGCTGAGCACAGGCCTGGCCTCAGACCCGGGCAGGAGGGGGACGGAGGGCCGGAGAAACGCCAGGTGCAGGGGCAGCCCTGCCCTGTGCCCTCCTCTGCCGGCCCAGCTCTCAGGGAGATAGGAGGGCACCCCTGCTGGGTAAGCCACCACACCTGGATCTGAATGCTGAGTGAGTGTGCATGTGTGTAGACATGTGCATGTGTGTGCATGTGTGTGCATAAACATGAGAATGTGGGCTTCTGTGTCTGTGCTGTCTAGGCCAGGAATTGAGGGTGGTTATGAGTGTGAGTGTGTCCGTGTGTGTGTGTGTGTGTGTGTGTGTGTGTGTGTGTGTGTGAGAGAGAGAGAGAGAGAGAGAGAGAGAGAGAGAGAGAGAGAGAGAGAAAGAGAGAGAGACAGAGACAGAGACAGAGAGAGAGAGTCTGTTGTGTCTGGGGGATGTGAAGCTTTGCTCACTGCTCTGTGGTGTGACCTCCACTCAGCAAAGTGGCACAGACCTGGACCCAGAGTGCGAATGGCAGACACCTGCTTATCCCTCCCTCCTCCGCTGGGCCCTGGAGGCAGAACCTGCCCACCTCAGGGCTTGCTCCTTCCTGAGGGCAGGATTCCCCTGGCAGTTCGTTTTTGCAAGCCCCGGGGGACAGGATTCTCACTTCCTGGCTGGGCACCCCGCTTCGCGAACACATCTCACCAACGCTGCCTCCGGCCCTGCCCCACCCTGGCCCTGGCCCCACACAGACAGCTGGCTCCACCAGGTCCCTTCTGTCCGGCCTCCTCCCTCCTTCCTGGAGCTGATGATGCGAGGAAACTTGGGGGGCTTTCTCTTGTGACTCAGTGTCCCCCACTTGCCTCATAGTGGGAGACAATTCCAGCAGTCAGAGCTAACAGGGCTCTCGTTCCGTTGAGCAAGGTCACTGGGCCAAACCAGAGCCGCCGCCCCAGGCCCAGGCCCGGCCGCCCCTTCACACCTGGCTGCCTGTCGGTGGCTCAGGCCAGGCCCAGCGGCCACCCCACGCCCAGCAAACACCGCACTGGCAGGGCCGGGCGCCGACGAGAGGCAGGGCGGAGAACAGGAGTGTGGGGCCCGCCCTCCGGGACACTCACTGCTCTCGGCCAGGACGAAGCTGCCGCACTCCTGGGAGCGGTTGCCGGGCGGGTCTGTCATGTTGACACTGAAGATGTCGTCGGCCATGAAGCGGAACACGTCCATGAGGCACGTGTACTTGGCGTGCGTGGCGTTGTGCGCGGACCGGAGCAGGCTGCAGGAGGTGACCTCGTCCTCCAGCTCTCCGTACGGGTCGTCCCTTCGAGGACAGAGTGGCCGGTCACGGCGCGCAGCCGGTGGGCAGGGTGCAGGGGAGGGGCTGGCGGTGGGGCTGGCGCTCACCTAGTCCAACCCACCCTTCCCCGGGGAAGGTGTACCCTCCGCCGGAGCGTCCCTGGTGGATTGGTCCAGGCTCCAGGCGTGCACGCTTTCACGAGACTAGAACTCACTACGTCACTCAGAGCAGCAGCTCTCAACCTCAGAAGCGGGGCTGTTCTTGCCTGAATGTCTTCCAGCTCTGTCCCTGTCCCTTCCATTGCTGGGATCACTGTTCTGCAGGCCTCCTTCCCACTCTCCTTCTCCTCCAAACTCCACCCAACACCAAACCAGGAGCCACACGGAGCACTCGCTATGCTCCGAAAGCATCCTGCTGGCTGCTGTGTGTGTGTCTGTCTCTCCGGCCCCTCCTGCCGCTGTGTGGCAGCTCCAGGACACCAGGACCTCGTGGCGGGGCCTCTGGTGAGTCACCGGCTCCCACCACGCAGGAGTGTAACCAGTGTTCTGTGTGAACGGCTGAGGGAGTGGATGGTGGCGAGGTCTCCCCGTGACCACACTCCACGCAGGCTCCTCTGAGCTCTCCTCAGCGCGGCCCTGACTTTTGGGTTCCCGTGTCTGTTTCTGCATCGTCTACTCTGAGCGAGACTCCGGCTAATTCAGTCCAGCCAGAATCCCACCCTCAATACAAAGGTGGGTTCCTCCTCCCCCTCCTCCTCCTCCTCCTTCTCCTCCTCCAGTCCCAGGAGGTGTCTGGTCCCCCTGGGCTGCCTCAGCAAGAGCCCTGCTATCGCTTTAGCCCGAAGCCCTCTGACCCCTGTTGTTTCCTCCTAGTGGTTTCCATGCACTGACCCCTCCCTGCTCCTTGGCTATCAACCCAACTCTTCCTTGTGCTCCGAGTTGAGCCCAATCAGCAAAACCCTGTGCAGCGGCCCCTAGCCTGTCAAGGTGGTCTTAAAGTCTGCCCCACCGCCCTTGAACAAGTGTCATGAATGATTTTTGTTCTTAACAGCATGGACTTATTAGGGGCCCCTGGAGCTTGGAGTCAGGCTGGCTGTGTGACCTAGGGCAAGGTGCATAACCTCTCTGAACTCCAGTGCCCTCGCTTGTAAAATGAGAGTCACACTGGTGAGGACGGAGGTGGCCATTCATGCAAAGCACGTGGCGGGCTGCCTGGCACGGACTGAGTGCTCAGAAACACCGTGTGGGAGGCCGGTCCCCTCGGTGTCTCAAAGCCAGTGTCAGGCCTGCGTGAGCGGCAGGGAATGGCCTCAGAGCTGGGCAGAGCGGCCCTGTGCCTCTCAGTCACTCTTTGCACAGGCGCCAGGAGCCCTGGGCGGTCACCTGCAAGATGGGCACAGGGATTCCCATCTCACCGTCCTTCTTGGGGTGAAACCAAATGCTGAGTGAACCCCTGGGACGTGGCAGCCCTTGTTGTTAGTTTAGCCCAGGTGTTATTGCTAAACTACCTGCCTGACACACAGTAGGTCCAGCTCAGCTCCTGGTCTCCCACGGTCCTGTCCTGGGCCCATGCTCCCCTGAGGCCCAGTCACTTACCAGGTGAGGGTGAGCATGCTGGGGGGGAGGGGCCTCGTCTCCAGGAAGCAGGTGACCGTCTGGAAGTAGTCGGTGTAGCAGATGAGGTCTGAGCACCCCCAGGCTGCAGGGTGAGGGAGAGAGAGGCCTTGGAAGGGCTGGGAGGGGCTGCAGAGTTCCTTGCTCCCCCGGCCCCTGCCCATCCAGGGTGGAGGATGAGTGGAAGCGGGGCCCCAGGGCGAGTCAGGGACCACTGAGATGAGGGACTGAGGCAAGGAGGTCCTGATCCCCCAAGATTCCCTGTCTGAGCCTCTGCGTGTCAAGGCCAGCAATGGGGACAAAGCACTCCGAATGAGACGGAGCTAACTAAGCGGGTCATCATCTAACCTGTGTTCCATGTTCAACAAAATAAACGCAGTCAGTTTTAGCTTTGTTTTAGAAGATCAAGTGCCCGCCCATGCTGCTCTCCCCTCCCTCCCACCGTTTACCGGAAATGTGTCCCCTGCTCATGTAGATTCAGGTTCCATGGCCTTTCCTGACTTTCCCGTCACTAATGGAGGCCCAGGTCATAAACGGGGCTCCGAGCCCGGAGCGCCCTCTGGAAAATCCTGGAGTCCGCCCTCCCCCTGCGCGGGCAGGCACTGCTGACGGACAGAGAACACTGCCTCCCTGGCGCGGCCTCCGAGGCCTCCCACTGGCCTGGCTGGGAAATGACTCCTGCTCTCGGCTCCCCTCTGGGGGGAGGCAGGCCCTGACCCGGGCACTTTGAGGAGGAGGAGGACTGCTTTGGGATGGAGGTGAGATCAGGGGCCAGAGGGAGTAAAAAGCCCAGCCACCTGGTTGGCCCTGCCCCTGGGCCTGGCCTGCTGGGTAGCCACCTGTAAACGGGGGCCACGGCCCCAGAGGTGAGCATGTGCTATTATCACATGTGCAGCCCGTGCTCAAGGAAAGCAGCAACGCCAGGTGACCCCGGGAATCAGCAGACCCGTGACCTGCCCCTGACCCTCTGGGAGCCAGTTTTCCCAGCTGAGATCTGGGCGGCACTTGGCATGGATCTGGCGGGCTGTGAGCTGAGGCGGTGCTCAGCACCCATGCACAGTGGGGCTTGCCACTGGTGCCCACAGCGGGTGCTGTGGCGGGTACCCCAGAGGCCTGTGAGAGCCACGGCCGAGTGCGGCAGCTCAACAAAGCCCAGGGCAGGAGCCTGACACCTGTTTGCTGAATGAGTGATTCGAGGCTCTGGGTCTCTAAGTAAAAACCGGGGAGGAATGCTGATGGTCATCAATGGCTGCAGAGGGCCCCTGCCCCGGCCAGCCCCATTGAGCCTGCGAGCTGCATCCCCCCCCTCCCCCCCCCCAGAAGGCCTCCTGGATCTCTCAGCCCTGGCCGAGTCCCATGTCTATCTCCTGGCCTTCCCCAGCTCCATGTCTGAAAGCTCTCCTCCCCGCCCCCCTCCGCCCCCCCCCCCCCCCCCCCCCGACAACTGTAGCTTCTCCAGAACCTTGGAGATTCTGGCTACTTCGGTCCCCACCCCCTCTTCCCCACGGAGCATCAGTGTCCGAGGGCAGCCCGGTGCCGGTGGAAGAACTTCCCCTGGGAGAAGCTGAGGTGGGACCAGAGGCAGGACTTCCTCACGGGGAGGGGTTGGGGGGCTGGAGCCCGCCATGGCAGGCAGGACCACGGGAATGCAGGGTGCGGTCTGCTTGGACCTGCCCAAACTTGGCTGATGAAGCGCTCTGGGTGGGTGAATTCTGGTTCGTGGAGAGCTGGCTGTTCCACCCGTGTCTGCCTCACGTGGACGCGTGCCGTGGACTCTGACCCGGAGCCCACAGGCCCGCCCGCCCGCCCTCCCTCCCGCTGCAGAGGCGGCCGGCTACTCACCGCCCTGGAGCGCCAGCAGGAGCAGAGGGGCCGCCCAGCACCGCAGCATGCTGACTCTGGGGCCTGCAAGAGATGCACGGCAGACGGTGGGCCCCAGCCCGGGGACCAGGGGGCCCTGGACAGCCTCCCTCTCCCCATCCCTCCCTCGGAAGACTTGAAAGATTCCTGAATGTGTCTCAGAAAAAGGAGATTTTGAAGAGCCCGAGGACTCGCTCAAGAATTCCTGTCCCTTAGAAACAGCTCCCCGTGGGTGCCCCTCCCACTTCCCCCACCTCCCTCCCGTCCCCCTTACATGGCAGGTGCGTTCAATGCGGGGAGAGCTCGCTGCTCCCCCACACACTTAGTCCACGCCGTGTGGGATTAACCGTGGGCATTGGCTCAGCTAGGGAAGGAGGGGCAGGAGGGAGTGGGCACTGGCTTGGAAAGTGCTATGTAATGGGCAGCAATCCTCCGTGCTCCCTCCCCTCAGATACTCCTGCTGCCATCTGCCTTATACATGGTCTCCTGACCAAACAACAAGCCTAGATTCAGCCGCAGAGAGCCCCGTCCTGGGGACCGAAGAGAAGGTTCGTCCATGAGCCTTTACTCAACCCAAAGCCCGATGAGCCCACGAGGCAGTGCCCTGGGAACCCAGAGCAGCCAGCCGAGGGGGAGCTGGACACCCTGGTCCGGGTGAGACGGAAAAGAGACCTTTCCGGAGGACAGCCAGCTAGGGAAGGAGGGGCGGGAGGGAGGGGGCACTTCCTCTCCGGGAAGAGTGAACACTGGTGCCCTCGGCAGAGGGATGATCCACCAGGCTGGCAATGCCAGCCTCTAGCTGGGGCTTGGCCCATTGCATCCCCAGTGCTGTGTCTGCTTGGGGAGGTGCCAGCTGGAGGTCAATGGGCCCATCTGCCAGCCAGGATGCCCACCCAGGCCACCCCCCCGGACAAGAGAATGGCTGGAACTGGAGCCTACAGGGAGTACCCATGCCAGGAGCGAGTCACACACCTGGCTTCTTCCAGACCATCCCGATCCCACAGCGGGGACCCTCCTACCCCACCCTACCCTCGCCCCACCTGGGTTCCCAAGATCCTCCTCTGGCCCCATCAAGAGCTCGCTCTGAACTCCCTTCAGAGTCACCAGGTAGTCAGCAGCGAAGGGCACAGAGAGGGTCAGATTACCAGCTGTGTGGCTCTGGGCCAGTCACTCCCCCTCTCTGAGCCTGGTAGAAAACACTAAAGCCCACTCCCAGGATTCTTGTGAGAATTCAGAAAACCCTGAGCATGGCCCTGACACCAAACTCTCAATAATAAACCGCCGTGATTGATACAGAATCTAGAGTTTCAGAAACGAAGGGATTCCAGAAGGATCTAGCTAAGAGCTCCCCAAATTTCTCACTTTCAAAATGTTTTTGCAGAACATTTATTTAGTGTTTTTTATAAATGAAGTTATAGAAATTAATTCCAACCTCATCCTAAGCAAAAACCTTAGGATAGTTGTGTATTTTCCCCCAACACAATTTGAAATGAATAGCGTTGCTATTAAAATACAGTAGCCCGGCAGTGTATTGATAGCTCAGTGGTTGAGCCATGCACCAAGAGGTCACTGGTTCAATTCCTAGTCAGGACACATGCCCAGGTTTCAGACTCAATCCCCAGTAGGGGGCATGCAAGAGGCAGCTGATTGATGTTTCTCTTTCATTGATGTTTCTAGCTCTCTCTTCCTATCCCTTCCTCTCTGTGAAATCAATAAAAAATATATGGGTTGTTGTTTTTAAAGATGATGTTGGGGGGAAACCCTTGTAAAGCTGCTTTGAAGAACGCTGATCTAGCCCCAAGCCCAGCAGGAGTCCTGGTACCACACCTGGAGGGTGGGGCCTCCCCCCACAGGAGCTGGAGCCAGACCTGTGCCTCACTAGCGTCCACGCCTTGGCCCCCGCCCAGCATAAGGGCCTGCATAGCTCTGTCCCGTCTGTCCCAGCGGCTCTGCCTTGACTGCAGGATAAAGCTCAAATCCCTCCACCCAGATCCAGGGGTCCCCTCAGCCAGCGCTCCTCAGTTCTACACAGAGTCACCCAGGCCCCGGGGAGGGAGGGGAGCTGCTGCTCTGTCTGCCCGGCGTCTCTGCCCCTTTGTGTGAGGCGCTCCTCACACTGGCTGGGACCCCATAGGGCGGGCTCCTGACCCAGGACGGGCCAACAAAGCACCCAACAGCCTAGCCACTGGGACCGGGCCAGGAGTGGACAGCAGCCCAGGCACACCAGTGAGCGCCGTCCTGGTAATTTTCTCTAGAATTCTAACTGAGAGGGACTTTGGGCCACTGGAATCTGGTACCCACCTCTGTCACCTGTTACAGAAAGGATGCCTGGAAATGAGGCCAGTTCTGAGAAATATGGACGTGAGCCCCCATGGCTTCATTTGAGGACGTGGGTCCATCTGTACTGAAGTCCCTGACTGGACTCTTCATTGACATAAGCCCAGGGGGGAATAAAAGCTATTTTGCTCAACCACGTGGAATTGTGCTTCTGTTGCTTGCCACCACAGAAAGCTGATACGGTGAAATAGAGTAAAGGGCCCAGAACTTGAAGCCAGCGGATCTTGGAGTTTCTCTGGTCCTTCCCTCTCTGTCCTTGGCTACCATCTCTGACATGGGGACAATAATGCCCACTGCACCTGGCCGTGAAGGGGAGTCTGTGGGGAAGTAGACGTGGCGGTGCTCTGTGACTGTAAGCGACTAACCAAGGGTGCTGGACTCCTGCTAGGACTGTCCCACTGATCCGAACTACCCAGAATCCTCCTGGCACCCCAGGCCCACCTGCCTCTCTGCCTTTGCATGAGGCAAATTCTCACGCTGTCTTCTCCATGAACGCCCTTTCCCCTCCCATCGCTCTAGACTCTCTTCACGGCCCACCTGCTCTATCCCTGCATCCATGAAGCCTCCTTAAAATGTTCCCGAACTCCTACCACTCGCTGTGGTCCAGGTTCCCATCATGGGGTTTTCTATCTGCCATTCACCTTTATTTTACCTCCTGTTTCCGCCCCAATAAACACATCTTAAAGGAAGAGGCAGTTATCACTACCATTGGCAGGTAGTTAGCACGGAGCGGAGAGGCCGTGTGTACCTCAGTAGTCACAACGCACACGCGGGGCTGGCGTGCCTGGGTTCCAATCCCAGCACGGCCGTTTGCAGGCCGTGCGGCCTGGAGAAGTTTACTTCCTGGCCCTCAGGGTCCTTGGGGTGAAATGGAAACAGTAATAACAGTACTTGCATCATAAGATCCTTTGCAATAAATTAGTCAATGTTTGTAAAGCATTTGGGACAGACCGTGGCACAGAGTAGATGTGATCTAAGCGTTTCTTAAACAAAACAGTCAACTTACTGTAAAACCAAATACAGTGAGCCGAAGCCGGTTTGGCTCAGTGGTAGAGCGTTGGTCTGCGGACTGAAAGGTCCCAGGTTCGATTCCGGTCAAGGGCATGTGCCTTGGTTGCGGGCACATCCCCGGTAGGGGGTGTGCAAGAGGCAGCTGGTCGATGTTTCTCTCTCATTGATGTTTCTAGCTCTCTATCTCTCCCTTTCTCTCTGTTAAAAATCAATTAAAAACAAAAACAAAAACCAAATACAGTGAAATGAAAAGACTAAATACAAGGAAAACAAAAGACAGCAGTTGAATTTTAGGAAGCTGCGACCCCTGCTGAAGACCCAGGGCCTGAGGCTGTGTTTGCCTTTGTTGGAAGTGGGGCGGAAGAGTGTCAGAGAGGCATTTCAAACGTACTGGCACCAAACCGCGATGCTCACGCCCTCCGCCATCGGGGGATTGGAAGGAGGTGGAAGAGGGTCTCACTCTTGCAGAGGGGCCTGCGGATGTTTACTGTTCTCCCTGCCCCAAATCCTCCTATTTATGGGACTTCTCACGCGGGGTCCTGAGGGCGACAACAACTTCCTTCCCAGATGCTCACCAGACCACAAGTGGGTGCCCTTCGCGGCTGCGTGCTGAGGGGCGTGCGGAGCACCTGGCTTGGAGCCTGCAGGTCCCAACTGGGCATACTTGGGCAAATTCCTGATCCTCCTGCTTCTCTGTTTTCTCATCTATAAAACAGGGTCATGACTCTTTGCTCCAAGTTTGTGGCAAGCACTAAATGCATCCTTGTAGGCAAAGCACGCCGGCACAGTCCTGGATGACACGGAGCCCTGGACAGGCGCTTGTGCACCAGGCTCCAGTGCCAAGAAGTGGTTTCTGGGCTTGTGGTAAAGCCGCTTAAAAGTTGGCCAGATTTCAGAAGATTCTGAGGAAGTGGAGAAGCGTGGGGGTAGAAAACAAGATTGAAGTAGGTGCTGTGGAGAATATAAAGTGCTTGATTTCCCCAGTCAACAGAGAAATGCAAACAAAAAGCACAAAGGCAGGCCATTTTAATCTAATCGATTGGCAAAACCTAAAGTCTGACGGCACCCCACATGGCTGAAGACATGGTGTCATGGGAACTCTGGTTCACAGTTATCGGAAATGTAAATTGATACAATTGGTCAGGAAAATGGTTTGCATGATCTCATTAGCATGAGCAAGCACGTGAGACCCGGCAATTTCACCGCTATGTACATGACAAAAGAAACTCTGCCGCAGGTGTCTAGAGATGTTTATAGCAGCATTGATTCCAATAACAAAGACCTGGAAACAACCTAAATATCCAACAGCAAGGGAATGGAAAAGTAAACAGCGGTAGAATTGCTCAATGCGAAACTGAATCATAGCTTTACCACCACAAAACAAATGACTCTCACATCACAAACAAAATGCGAAATGAAGACAAGTTAGAAAAGAACACCATCCGTGTCATACACTCAGCACCAGGAAAAATTGCTCCATATGTTGTTTAGGTGAACTTACACGTGTCTGGAAAGCACAGAGATATCCAAGCTGATGATAAACATCAAACTTCAAATAGTGTAGGAAAGCAGGGGATGCGATGAAAAGGGGTCTTTAGGAGTCTCAACACTTGAGTGAAGTCCCCATGGATGTTGATTACTATATTATTCTTCATATCTTTCTGTATGTCCAAACTATTTCATAGCTTTTTAAACGT